GAAAGGCCTTTACCCACTGTCTTCCGATCGTGAGTCGGGCGCACTACCACCGCGGCCAATTCCACAAAACTAATCGACGGATAAATCGTTCAAAATAACCTCCATGTAGTTCCATACAATAATACAGTTTATTCTCGAAAGCGTTCCATACATTATTCAAGATGTCCGGAGTCAGCCGGAATTCCTGAATAATTCTCTGTCGCAGGTCTTCTAAATTTGTAGATTTAGTAGAGTACACTTTCGGCTCCAGGTGTCCTCACAGAAAGAAGACCATCGGTGTGAAATCAGGTGATCTAGCTGGCCACTCCACTGGACCCCTTCTGCCGATCCAACGCATTGGAAAACGTTCGTCCAAAACCTGTCTCACCCGAACATCAAAATGTGGGGATGTACCATTTGCTGGAATGTTATTTCATTTTCTACTAAATTTTCATCATTTTCCAAAATTTGTGTAATCTTAGGATCTACACAGTCTGGTAATAGATTTGATAATGTGTCTCCATTGATATTACCTTCAATGAAGAACTGTCCAACAATACGATTACCAATATGCCGGCCCAGATATTCAATTTTTGTGGAGTTTGTGAATGTGTTTCCATGCACCAAAATGAGGATTCACATCGCTTCAGTGAAGACAATTTATGTCTATTCACTTCATCATTCAAAATGAAAGAAGATTATTGGTCAATTTCTCGCTGAACACCTCACAAAACTGAAGTCGACGATCAGGATCATCTTCGTTTAATTCCTGAACTAACCTTATTTCGGAAAGATGAAATTTGTAGGCTTTCAAAATCTGAAAAACACTAGTAGCTGATACACCAGACGCTCTAGCGATTGTCTGATAGATTGTCGATTATCCATTTGTACATGTCCTGAAACTGCAACTTCAACTCCGTCATTTCTGACAGGACGGGATACTCCATGTTTTCTCTTGTCAACAGAACCTGAAGTTTGAAACGTATCCATGAACTATTTAACTTATTGATGGCTCACGTTGTGGTCAGGATGTTTCATAATATAAATTCTTGCAGCAGCTTTAGCACATACATTATTTCGATAACAGGTTGCAACAATTTCTATTCTTTCTTCAGTGGAATAAACCATGTTGGAACAAAGTGAACAAGGATGATTGAATAATAATTCGTGATGAAATCAAATTTTCATTATATGTCGCGAACTTTATGTATTACACTGTATATACACCAAAAAGGTATCCAGTTCCTCGCAATTCAACATAAAAAGCCCATATTGTAGAAATAAAACTGACCTGCTGTGCAATTGCATACACCATTTATCCACTTAATTTCAAGGAAAAACCTAGAGGGTCATTCCTTTATCTTAGCACAAATATCACACGATTTAACTCTGAGAACTGCTTCGCCTTTCATTTTCTCTGATCAGAAATTTTCTAACCTAGCTTTTCCACTCAAAGCTACACTTATCAATGTGTCAATTTCCTACTAAAGTAATCTGTGACAGGGTGTTCTGCAATTGCATACACCATTTATCCACTTAATTTCAAGAAAAAACCTAGAGGGTCATTCCTTCATCTTAGCACAAATATCACACGATTTAACTCTGAGAACTGCTTCGCCTTTCATTTTCAACGTTTCAAACAACGGGTTATTTTCGTCAACAATACTTTTGTAGAAGTGTCAATAAAAAATGCCACTTTGATAATTCTTTGTTTTTCTTAAGAGGTCTGCACTGCCATCTAATGAACACTTCTGAAATGCCGATGGGACACACTCCATCTCGTGATGGAAAATTCATACACAAATCATCCAATAAAAACAATATATATTATTAAATGTTTACCATAGATTTCTATTTTCATCAAGAGAAATTTTTGTCCCTTGAATATCTGATAATAAACAACAAACTCGACACATCTCATTCCTGAATGAAACAATGTGATCAACAATTAACTGATTCAAAGAAATAAATATTTCAAAATAAAATCTCGAAACATTTATCTCTTTCAAAGTACTTACAACATACGATCTGGTAAATGCCTGTCAGAAAACAACTACTTTCCCGGCTAATACCACGCTAGACGTGGTACCACTACAGACCTGTTTTGAGGTATTACTTCTCATCAGTTCGGGAAATATCCGACCCAAACAGCAGTGTGCTTGAAACTTGAATAATTTCAACAGGGCTACACGACATGTATGAAACCTTTGTCCAAGAGAAAGATTGTTAACTAGTAACATCTTGTAAACAAAGCCTGAAGCGTGGAATATACATTCCATGTATCCATACTTTGACAGGAATCAAAATATTTTTGAAAATTGTATCATGGAAAGATACATACATATAAGAAAAAGAATACTTGGAAATAAAATATCGAAACATTAATCTCTCCCAAAGTACCTACACTATAGGTTCTGGTTAAATGTCTGCCGAAAAACAACTACTTCCTTGCCTAATATCATGCTGAACATTGAATTATATTCGACAGACATTTATGCAAGATACCTCAAAGAGGTCAGTCTTGCACATGTTTCTTGTTCATCCAGCAGCAGGAACATGCTGAAATCGGTCGAGTAGATTACCTACAGACCTAAACTGAATAGGTTATGTAACAATGATGGTTTTACTGAAATGTCCATTACTTGACTGTTCGTTATTCCAATTTGATGTTATATACCCACACTAGGATGTTCTGTACTAATGGGACATTGAGTCCCATTTCTATATCTAACTTTAGAAATTTTATAACAAAAAAAAAACTTAAACAAATGATCACTGAATAAATATTGAACTTTTTTATTTTGTAAATGGAATTTATCATTCTGACTTCATTGCTTCACAACACTTGCTCAATATTTTATGCTCAAAAGCATATTGACATTGGTTTGAATCGATTCAGAAAACACCTAAACAATGCTTTAATAAAACCATAATTGCTAGGAAATTTATTCATTCTGCTAAAATTCTCCATACGTCTGTACAACTACAGATTCTTCTATTTCCAATAGATTCGCTTTTCAACCCACAAATGTGCAATGCCATTTTTCAACAATCTCAGACTATTCAAGACTTTTTAGTCTGCCCCAAGTTTGGCTCAAGAGTGTGAACCATCTTGACATAATCCTCGGAATCCTTGTGTCCCTTCATATGCTTCCGCAGAGTAGCTTTAAGTGAAAACGAAGATTTACACACAGAGCAGATGAAAGGCCTTTCCCCACTGTGCGTCCTCAAGTGAACCTTCAAGTGAGTTGACTGACTAAATGCTCTGTTACAAATATTGCACTGATGTGGTTTTTCAGCAAAGTGTGTTCTCATGTGACGTTGAAAGCCATTGGAGTAAGGAAAGTTCTTGCCGCAGATGCTGCACAGAAAAGGGGACTTCTTTGTTTTCTCTCCAGGAGGGGCCTTGTGTGTTTGCTTGTGCCGGTTCTGGGATGACAAGCGGTGGAACGTTTTGTTGCAAATGTCGCAATGATAGTTGCGTTCGCGAGTGTGTGTAGTAAGGTGTTCCCGCAGGTTGTGGGAGTGCTTGAAAGCTTTATTGCAGATGGTACACAGGTGCGATTTGGGAGGTGCATGCGCTGTTTTAGAATGATATTTGAACTGTGATTTCGATGTGAAGCTCGTCCCACACAAGTCACATGGGTATGTAACAGTTTCTGGGTTTTTCATGTTGTTACTTGGACTGCATGAATGATTCAGCATGTCTGCTGCAGATTGATATAATTGCAAGCACAACCCACAAACAAAAGTATCTGTTTCGGATTTGGCACTATCCGAGCAGTATTCGTCTAGAGACAGTTTATTCGGGTACACCATGTCATTGCCCCCATTGATACAAGTTTCAGGTAGTGAAGTTTCAACTATCGCAACTTCCTGCGTTTGAATTTTAACTTGCCATTCTTTCCAAAATGCTACTGCAGTTATGAGCTTTTTCCTGAATTCCCATGTCTTATTCAAATCCTTGGAGCAGTCTGGGCAAATCTCCCAGGTTTCCTGAAACACCTAGACAATAATTAAACTTGTGAATAGGAGAACAAACAATATTTACCTCAAACTCCCTGTTAGAGGCCATACAGTGGATTTTATTCAACAGTGACTCGTTATTGGTAATAACTGTCGACAGAGGGATTAATTTGAAACTTTCACATTCTGTGTAATTTTGTAAACAAATTACGCAAGTCTTTTCTTGTTCTTCCATTATATTTACATAAAAGTAATCCAGAAAATAAAAAATGAATGAAACTACTGATCAGAAATTTTCTAACCTAGCTTTTCCACTCAAAGCTACACTTATCAATGTGTCAATTTCCTACTAAAGTAATCTGTGACAGGGTGTTCTGTGGCCCTGTGCTAAAGTTTTGAAAATTTGGTGCTAGATTCAACTGTTAGGAGGCGTTCGGTATCACCAGCGGTTGACGTAAAACAGAATGCAAGATTTTAAAATGGGTGTGTTTCATAGAACATACAATTGATGGTAGCTCAAAAATAATTAAAAGTATGGAGGGGAGACCCACAATAATTAAAAAAATGTACTATCACTGTCAGACATCGCAAATTATAGCAGAAACACCAATCGAGCACTTCTTACATCTGGTTACCGAAATAATTATATACATTATAATATTACTATATATAAGATTATCTTGATATTTGCATGTGTTCACGACAATGCTGAAGTGGATTTCAGAAAGCTCCTACATTTTTCATCAAGGTGAATAATTATGATTTTGCATGACCATTTCAGTTACTTTAGGTTAGGTTATTGAATTTCCTTATATTTTCCAGATCAGACTAGGTGTACTGTCTTTTAGAGAAATTCGTAGAGATTGTTTTGTTGCACAGAAAATTATTTTCTTAAAATATCACATGCTTGGAAAAGTGAGACTTTGGATCATAGGCTTTGTAAGGATAATAGAGGGCGAAGTTCAACTCGGAAACAAGAAATGATACTCTTGCTTCTCCACATAACCCCAAAAAGTCTTCCTATAACAAAAAAATCGTATAATCGAGACTATATTACCACTAAATACACCCCGATACAAATATTATTCAACAGCTGATTTGAAATGAGAATTCTGAAGGTTATAAGCAAGAAAGGTTGAATAAATACTGTTTGAATTGAGTCTTGAAACACTCATTTTGAAGTCAGATAAAATGATGTTTTAAATTTGCAAATTTGATGGCAGTTAGATATCTTAAAATATTCGTTTTTGAAAGAGGGTGGAGACCATATTCCCCTAAATCTTACATTTACATCATGCATATCCTTGGAAAAGGTTATTTTTCGATAAAAAACGAATCATTTAATGTGCAAATTATTTAAGAAAAACAGCCACAATGTAAAGTTCAACTTCGTGGACTTTATGGAAAATTCTTTCGCGTCTTTTCATTCTATACAAATACAAATTTATGTTTGTAATGATTAGGTCTTCTTCTTCTCTTTTTTTATGGTCTTTGCTTCCCTTCGGCGCAGTAGTAATGATTAGTTATATTAGGTCTATGAACAACGCCTGCGTAATTGAAATTCTACAACACTAAACTTTCACAAAGTAAAGATTTGAGCTTTGGCGGTAGAAAATGTCGCATTCTATATATTACACGTGGCGAGAGCACTAAAACAGTGGGAAATATTCAGAAAATAATTGAATTTGTCATGGAAAAATATGCTTTCGACCGGGTAATAGGTATTAGAAATTCCTTCTTACCAAAGTCTTCGGCAGAGACTAATCTCCTCTTTGTCTTTAATGATTACATTGTTATTTTAACAGCTCGACACGTGTTTCAATCACCAAGTGATCATCTTCAAGAGGAAAATTAAATAATGGTTGTTTTCTTAGTATTTGTCCCCGTATTCTTGCTGTGATTTTCCTTTTCATTTAATATTCTTCTTTGAGCTTGAATTTGGCAACTGATTCAGTTCCTACATGAGTATATTCTGGAATGTGAAATGGGGAACACACATCGGTGTCAGTATTTATTTTTTTTATTGCATCAACTGCTTAGATTTACAAATCAAACTTCAGTATTTTCATAATACAAAATTTGAAATATCGAATGTTTTGAGTCGCCAAAAATCATACCTACCTCTGGCGGTATGTGTTCGATCAGAATCCATAGAAATAATCTAGATTCGCATCAAAAACTATATCTTCCCAGACTGCGGAGTAATAATAAAGTTTGATCAGCAGTATCTGACTTTCAAACCTCATCATTTCAACCTGTTACGATATTGGAATTTACTACATCATTATTGGGGAGCGATAGCATTATCCAAGAAGTGTAGTTAGAGTTTATATGCCCCGCTTCCTCTATAATGAAATGTGGTAGTTTCTCATTACAGTATAAACTTCAATTGAATGAATTTCACTCACCACTCTGCTGTAAAGTTGCTTTCCAGTAAATTGACAGTGAGTTTCAAAACAATAAGTAGATAAAATGGAGACATGAGCGAGATGTAACCTTTTAAATGAAAGAGGAGAGTTCTGAATTTTCCCTTTCTTGTTATCAAGTGAAGCAACATAAAAATATTGAGAAAAGTTAAACGTACCAAAATATTTTAAATTTTTACATGAATTGGGAGTAAATATACATATAAAATTACTTGCAATTAATCTTCAATACGGAAGACGTTGCACAGGTGCCAATTGTTTCACTTCATCTTTCTGTGCGACATTAGCCGTATAAGTTGTTTTTTCGTCGGGTATCTGCCACACGTACCTACAAAATAGAAGATTCACCTGAGAGGCAAGGGTGAGGTATTTTCACCTGAACTTGAGCATGCTTCCCGAGATTGTCTGCAGGTGGCGCAGTGGTACATCCTACTGAATCATGACTATATGTTAGGAGCTAGTACCCCGAAACCGGTTTGTTGGTGATCATCCCGACCAAATTAAATCAATTTCAGCTTTTTATATATAGGAAGTTACTCGCGAAGAATCTTCCAAATGGAACCTGATGGTTTCCCTTCAGCTTTCTGCGCAGCATTAGCTGAATAAGCTGTTGTTTTTTTACGAACCTTCAAAATCGTAGGTCTGACATGGAAGGAAAGAGTTTGATATTTTTACCAGAACTCTTCGAAATATATTCATTTATTATTCTGATGTGAACCCCAGGGTATGTTTTTGATCAACTGCAGGCAGAGCTTATGGCTAGAGAGAATCTAATTCGTTTGTTCGGGGTGTTCAGACGGTTCACTCTGTCTGAAATGACCCACCCGACACTGACGAGGAGTTAGTATTCCGAAACCTTGTTTGTTGGTGATCATCCTGAAAAAATTAAATCAATTTTAGCTTTTCATATATAGGAAGTTACTTGCGACGAGTCTTCTTAACGCAAGACGTTGCACAGGTGCCAGATGGTCTCCCACGAGTGGCAAGAGTTTGGTAACAATTGTATAAAGCATGTATTGCAGTCGGAGACAGGAAAAAATGAGAACTTTTTTCTGTTCAAGCTTTCGAGACTTTATTAGCAATTCTTCAGGAACTCTGGGGTTGTGAAAATATAATTTGTGAAAAACATAGTACAGACCATCAAATTAATACTTGCAAAAAATGTGGTTGTACAATCTGAGCCGCAAAAACATTTGGATTTATGAAAATATTACTGATCGATGATGATAAACACTTGTATAATTGTCAGAGATCATGTAGGAACGGTAAAATTTTAACAAAACACTCGTTATGTTGTGTTGAATCGATAATTGTTAATATAATCCAGAAGTAATCATTTTAATGGACTCTAAAAGAACATGTCACTGTCATCTGTCATGTCAAAAATATTAGAAAAGAAGAACTGTTGGTGATTAGTGTTCTCAGAACATAGAACAAGAATTTAGGGGGATGTAACAGTAAGAATACCTGTAGGCGAGACCGGTGCAAGTTGTAACCAAAAAAGTTTACACTTTTTTTTCTCGAAAACGATTTCTTTTTCGTGATTTATTACTCACATATTTGGCCAACTTGTCAAATTTATATATATATATATGTATTATAATCGTTGACAGTTAGACTTCTAACCACATTTTAAATAAAGTTGTCTCATTGTTACAATCTGCCCCGGCCCGGGGCAAAAAGTAACACCATATGGGGTAAGTTGTAACACATCTGTTTTATTTGATAAATGAAAAATATGAGCATACATTTGACTACAAAAAACATCTCTAAAAAATATAAATGCAAGCACATATTAATAAAACAACATTAGATAACTTGATGTAACAATAATCACTTATTTCCTATCAGAATCGCAATTATGGCAGATATAAGGAGAGTTTCCCCCAGTGCAATCTTCATGTGACCACATTTTGCACACACTGCACCTAATCCAATGTTCGTTCGGTTTGCTATTGCTAAAGGGTTCAGTGCAAACTAAGCAAAAGTACTCGTCTTCAGAATATGATTCTGATTCCACCAAAACCTCTTTTTTTACTTTCTTCACTTGTGCCTTCATAATTTCTTTCTGCGTTTTAGATTTGCGTTTATTGTTTTTCTTCCAGGGCATTTTTTTCTGGTGTGTCAGTTAGAATGGCAGATTTTCGTTTTTTTTCCTCTATTTGTTTTGTTTCTTTGTTCAACTTAAGGGAGTGGCCGAACAAACTCTGGAAAGGATGCAGCCTTGTATTTGAAGGTGCGTTTGAAAGGAGCAGGATAGCATATAGGAGTGGATGCCTGTGAACTTTCTTGGGGTAGGCCAGTCGTTGTTACAATAGGTTTCAAATCATCTGTTTGGGAGGATAAAGGTGGTGGTGGTAGCGGATGCTCTGTCACAGAAGCGGATAAGGAGTCATCGTCGCTAAAAATTTCCCGGTTGAAAGGTTCTATGCCAGAAACCTTGAAAGCTTTCATTATATTTATAGCAGTAGCTGCCAGTGATAGTACATCACGAACCAAGGAAGGGACGTCATAAATTGTCATCGACTTTCCGGCGTTGCTTCGCATCCAACTATCTTGAGCAGAAGATAAATACTTTTTGAAGGTGCCATATACGCTCCTGTCTATGGGGTGCAAACGGTGAAATCAGTGGGGCGGAAAAGACAGCATCACCACCCAATTTTCTTTTGCATAATTTATAGTTTTTATTGCTAAATGGGGCTCATGGTTGTCCAATAATAAGAGGACTGGACTGTCTTCCGAAGGCTTTACATGAGCAGCAAAGTGCTCCATAAATTTATAAAATTCTTCGGTCGTCATCCAGCCAGAACCATTAGCTATTCCAATGGACCCTGGGGGACCATTTCTAATAAAATGGTCGTGAAATTTTTTTCTGGGAAACAGAAACATAGGTGGTATAGAATTTCCGATCGCACTTACGGCAGTACA